TTCGGTGCTGGCGGGCGTCCATTAACATCTCCATTTACTGTAACTTCTTTTCAAATGTAATGTCATCTAAATTTACATTGTTAACTAGTTTAAAACAAAATAAATTAGGACAAACTAATCATTCGCAGTTCTTCCTTTTTTTTCTAAATGGTTCGTAGGTGAAGCTTATTAAAGCTGAGAGATTTGTGGCAATTAAATAAGTAACGACATGTAAGCGGCTTAGCGTTTTCAAAATTATTCAGGAAAAATTTTTATGAGTTGAAGTTTTTTTCAAGTAGTATTTAGACATTAATTGCTTTAAGCACAAGTTTATATTAAAAATAAATTATGAAAAAAACGAAAACACACACACATATAAGTCACAAGCACACTTATAAACACTAACTCACACACACACACAATGAAACTGTGTGTGTGAAGTGTGTGCATGTGTATGTGCATGTGTTGTAAAAAAATTTATAATATTTTTGTTAAATATCGTCCGCTAAATTGTAATGCAGCTTCTTTGAGATATGTCATCATCATTCATTTTGCGAATTTTTATTTAGTGGCGACGAAACGTGTACTACCAATTATACAAGAATTTAATATTTATATACAAAAACACAAGGAGCTGCCTTGTATTTTGTACAAATTCATAAATATAATATTATGTATGAAACCAATTTTGCATCGTTAAAAAATATTGTATCACTTTGAACCGTTTAAAAATTTACAACTTATGTTTTAATGTTTCAGTGAAAAAATTTCCAATTTATAGCTAATGTAGATACATTAGTTATAAATTTACAATTTTTTATATTTTCAATTTTTAAATAATTTTACTTTTTGGAGAATAAAATTCAGAATGTTGGTGAAATTTGAGAAATATTCCTATATATCAAACAATAATTTTGTTTCGCCAGTTTTCTACGAAAAAACAAACTTATAAAAAAAATACCCATTCTGTTGAGGTTCTTTCTATTTAATTTTAAAATTCTTTTCACTGAAACATTAAAACATTGGACGGACAAAATATTTATGAGACGAATAAATTTTTTCCAAGTTTCCATAGAGAAGCACAAATGAACATTTCAAAAGATTGATTAGTTTATTTATTATGAAAATTTGAATAGGAATCTTAAAAATATATTTTTTTGTTAAAGTTGAAACAATTCAATTTAACCAAAAATAATTACTAATATAATTAATTTAAATATTCTTCCAAATTCAAGTTTGCAGTTCTCAAATATAAAAGATCTATTTTGTATGTAACGTCGTCTGCTACTAGTAAAACATAATCATTTTGTTTTCGATTGAATATATTTTTTAAATTAAAATCTTTAATTCAGATCCTGAATATAAATTTGACTGGAGAGTTGAGTTTATTGTGTGCACTAGTCAAAAAATTAGTCCAAAACGAAACAAAAATTTAGATATGATACTTGTAAGAAATGATATTCTGCCGAAACAAATTTCAAAAAATTATTCGAGAACTTACTTTTAAACTGATCACAACATGAATTCTACAAAAAAATTTCAACAAAACTTCTTGCCTAGAAATCCTTCAATAATCCATAGAACATAAACCAGCAAACTCTACGCGTGCAAAAATTAAATGTTGATATCAATTTATATTTATAAATTAATTTCAGCAACAACGACTTTAGTTGATGAAAAGTCAAACGATACAACGTTACAATTAAATTGAATGAAAACCCGATGTTTTTCCAATATCTAACGTGTGGATAAGCAAGTGCTTGCAATCTGCCTCTGCATTATAACGCAGAAGCATGAATGTTAGCAATCCGACACTAATGTTTTACATTCAATCTAACATTTTTAATATAACATCATATTGAATGAATGTAAAACACAGAATGCCTGTCTGTGTAATTATTACTTCTGTTTCAACACGTGAATATATACAATTATGTTTATTTACCACTAATCGAATGCGATAATAATAAGTTGATTGCAGAATTTCATAGACTCTTATTACATCAATCCAACTTTTTCGTGTTTATTGTACAAGAAAATGATATGGTGATATTTAACTCCCAAGCTTTCTCTCTTTTTCTCTATTATCTCTCTTTTTTTCTTTTTCTCTTTTTCTTTCTCTCTCTTTTGTTTCTCTCTCTCTTTTTTTTCTCTTGTTTCGATTTATCCAACTTTTTCATTTAAAGTCTCTCTCTCTCTTTCTCTCTCTCTCTCTCTCTCTTTCTCTCTCTCTCTCCCTCATTTGACTGACCGGCGTTTTACTGTCAATATCTCTTATTTTTGAATTATTTTTCTTAGTCTTCCATCTTTTTCTTTCTTTTTTCTTTCATGTCTGTCTATCCTTGCCTATTCTAGTATGTAAGATAAATATTTCATTATAGTCTAGCGGATAAATGATATTGTATTTCAGGGATGTGCACATACATTAATTTGCGGGGCTATGAATATAAGAATTCATATTATTGTCAACTATTTTAGGAATAATTTCGTGTGTGTGTGTGTGTGTGTGTTTGTTTATGTGAGTGTGTATGTTTATGTGAGTGTGAACAAGTGTGATTACTACGGCGTGATGGCTCACTGGTTAAAGGCGCCTGGTCTTGTTATTGCAATAACTGGGTTCGAATACAAGGAGATCCCCACCTATCATATGCAATCTGTATGATGCGTAGTTTGTACACTTATTCATATACGCAGTGTGTGTTTGTTGTTGAAACCTCTGAAGCCAATGCAAAACAGAGAGTAAACTTTAACCTTTAACATATATATATATATATATATATATATATATATATATTTATATATATATATATATATACATATTAGGATTTAGACCATATTCGATACGGTTTTTAAGAAAATCAAACGCGTTAATACAATTATTATATTTATACATTAATTTTTCAAGTTTTCTAATTTCTAATTTTGTTATAGATATTTAATTTATTAAGTAAAAAACTAAAATTATTATTGTTCATGTTTATTAAAATAAATAATTGCAGAAAGCTTTTTCGATATAAAATATATTATCATCAGTGCAAAATATTTTAAATAATAACGAAAATTACTGTTTATAAACAAATGACGTCATACCGTATAACTTAATTTTAAGCGCGAAACGATTTTGAAAATACTATTATTAATTATTATATACTATATATTTAACATATTGATAAAATTAACTTAAAATTATTTACATTGATATATATTAGAATTAAACAAAATAAATTAAAATTAAAATTTTAAAATTGCTGAAAAAACGACCTTAAAGTAAATCAACAAATAAAAAACAAAAATCAGCCATACCATCATACTACAATATTCATGTTTCCAAGTTTATATTATTATCATTGTTATTGTTATTATTATTATTATTACTATTGTTGTTGTAGTTGTTGTAGTTGCTGTTTTTATTGTTGTTATTATCATTATTATTACTATTGTTGTTGTTATTGTTGCTGCTGCTGTTGTTATTGTTGTTGCTGTTGTTATTGTTGCAACAAACTTGAAAAATTAATGTATGTATATATATATATATATATATATACATCTGTTAATGTTAATGTTTATACATTATATATATATATATATAATTATTAATTTAAAATTTAAAAATCTTACAGTCAAAAAATAATATTATGCAGGGAAATCTCTTGCCTATGCAAAAGATTTACCTGACGCAGCATTTCTGTAGTTACGTACCCCCACTGTAAAGAGGGATTGCCCCGTTAAGAATCTGTTACATTTATATATCTTTGGAGAAATAATTTCTAACTTTGAGGAAATAAATTTTCCATTGCAAAACTGAATAAATAAAATGTCTTCGTAAAAAACTTTTTAGAATTACTTGATGCTGATTTTTTTTATAATTCTTTAACTCCAATAGTTTAGAAACTTCAGCTGTTCCTTTTGATAATTTAAAACTTATTGGGGAAACATCAAAATGATAATAATAACAACAAAAATAATAATAACAATAATAATAATAGAAATAATAGTACAAATGTATTACATGTAATAATAAACTCATTACCAAGAGAAATGATGATGATGATAATGAAGATGGCGTTGATGATGATGATGATGATGATGGCGTTGATGATGATGAAGACGATGATGACAACGACGACGATGAAAAAAATAATTAAAAAAAAAATAAATTTTAAACAAAGACCAAACAACCGAATTACTTAAATTGCTTTTCAATGGCGGGTTTGGGACCACCTTCTTCACAGAAAACTTATGTAAATATTTTTCTGTAAAAATTCAAAATTACAGACGGAAAATTGTAATAAATTACCAAAACAAATTACATGTCCCACCTTGAAGCGTTGCCAATAGAAGCAGATTTTTCAGATTTTCATGAATTTTTTCGCTTTCACTTTTTCACTTAACTCATCGGCGCAATTAGCATTTGTTAGGAGGATTATTTATTTGTATGTTTATATATTCATCTTTATTTATGAATATATCTTTTTGTATTTTTGTATATTTGGCTTTGTGTGTAATAAAAATTATTTTTTTTATTTATGTATGTTCGTAAATCCTAATTTCGTTAGTCATCTTGTTTGCAGTTGTTTATTAAGTATTTTTTTAAGGATTTTTCATACTTTAACAACTTTTCATGAAATTTAAAACAGCAAGACATGTTTATAAACAACTGCGATTTTTCATTTAAGTTGAGTTGTTTATCTGTTTTAAATGAATATTTTTAAAAAAATGTTATTATGAATAAAGTACAACAAAATTTTAATTTTCGTTTTTGAATTAAAACTTGAATAGTGAAACATTAATGATTTTTCTGATAACTAACCTTGAAAAATTATGAGTAACACTCACCTTAACACTTTTGTTAAATCAGTCATTCAGTTACCATTATTTAAGCTTTAATACTCTTCTTTCAATTATTTGATTTCTATATTTCTACATGTTCTAAATTTTATCCTTTTTTATACAGTTTCTCATTAATAAGTACTGACAAAAAAATGCGTTAAAGCCTCAGAATAAAAATTTGTTAAAAAAAAATGCACATCTTCCAGGTTTGCTTCATTAAACTTTCATCATCTTTCTTAAGTTTCTTAGACTCGAATATGACAAAAAAGATTCCCGCCTATCACATGTTTCGTTTGGCACGTATTCATGTACATATTGTTGAATCCTCTGAACTTTGGAAGAGTGTAATTGACCTTTTAACCTTTGATGAAGAAGTGATACAACCGAAACATGTGACAGGTGAGAAAAATTACTTTCAATTGATGATCAATACAAAGATAATGATGATGAGGATGTGATATGATTTAATGGTAAAAACGATAACTATAGTAACACTGACAGATGGTGATGATGGTTGTCTATCAAAATACTAGCATGCTCACAACATGATTAAACTTCAAATTCGTAAGCATACATGCATAAAAACTTTTTATTAAAAAACTTGAAATGTGCGTAAAATTTGATGCATTTAATTAAGCAATCGTCTTCATTAACACGCAAGGGAAAAATATAAAAATTAGTTAAAAAACGTGTCTATAAAAAGTGAACACACGCACACACTAACACACACACACACACACGCACACACACACACACACATAAACACACACGTATATAAATGCGATCACAAGAACGTTCTTTGTAATCTCTTTTCATTGTCATCATTTAACATTATGCTTATTATGCTTCCTATTTGGTTTATTCATTGGTCTTCTACCATTTGTTTTTGCATCATTTTCTCCCCGCTGTATTTTCATCTCATTACAAATGTATTGTTTTTGGTTTCTGATATTTATTTGCATTAGTCACAATTGATTTTTTTCTTTATTAGAATAATTTGTGACACATTCAAAACATTTTAAATTATAAAACGTTATAATGTTTTTGGTGAGAGATGTGTAATCATTCACAAGCTGCTATCACGTGGTGCTATCAGTTAGCACAATAAAATGTAGACATAAAAATGTTGAAAAAATTATTTTATATTATAGTGAATAATTGAATTTTCCAATTTGTCAAACAAACAACTTTTTCAGTTGTATCAAAGATTTTAGGTGTGAATAAATGTTATAGTTTGTTCCATAACTGGAGTGTATTATTTTCAACATTTTATGATTATTTAAAAATATTTCCAAATAAGTTAGCATTTTAATCGCACAAAAATTGAATGTAAAAATAAATAAAACTTGTAAAAACGCGTTGAGTACTTTGCACCTGCTGGCAAGTGTTTCGCTTTGCAGATTTTTTCATTTTGTTCCAGAAAACATGAATTTCGATCTTTTAAAAATTTCAAATTGCATTTAAAAACATACTTTTTCTTCATATTTTAACTAAAATTTTGTTTTAACTTCCTACGTTTTGTTTATGTGGTGTCAAACAGTGGTTAATAAAGAAAATTTCATTGATGTAGAAATGAATTTAAAGTTGCTGCACGGAAATCAGATTAATTTCAACTTTAAAATGTGTGTATTGATAGGAATGGACCTTATTATGCTAATGTGAAAAACTATGTGACTAATAAAACATATACTGATATCAAATGTCTGAATATTTGATTAATTAAATAGGACATCTACTGGGAACGCTTAAATGTATTTATTATAAAAGAGTTCATATTCCATTTCACACAAATTGAATATACATGAATGAGACATCCGTACGCATTACAATTTGTTCATTCATAATCTTCATATCCATCCAACATACAGGCAAACACAGACTGACATGAAAACAGTTGAAATGAAAAAAATTATCCGTCTGCTGGATGGAAACATTTTTCAAGTAACACACAATTTCGTGGCGTGCAAATGCAATAAATTTTCTGGCTGATGGAGGAAAGAATAAAATAACGAACGCATGAAATGGAAAAAACTCAATAACGAATGCATGGAAAGATACGTTTTTGTAATGTTCGCAAATATTACCAATTTTAAAACATTTTCAGACAAATCAATTAATTTAAACAACTAAAGCGCCGGTTCAAACATTTCAACATGGAACGCATTTGTTTTAACAATTGAAAATTTTGGGTAATACTGCATACGTTTGTTGGATGGAAATAATATTTTCCAGCAATGAAAATAATCAGGTTGTTTTAATAGATTAGATACCATGTAGAGCAAGACAATCATGGATGTTGTGGATTATACGCAATCCAACTTTATTACCAGGAAGTGAAGCCATAGTAAGAACGACAAGCATCATCGTCCTTTGGTCAATACCCTGCAGGGAAAAAAACATTTTGTGCTTTATATTTTTGACAACTTGCTCTGTAAAATGTTGACTTTTTAAAAATAACTGGCAGATATATTAATGAAAACACACCCGCCTCATTGTGTTAAAAGGTACCAGACCCTTTAACCTATTAGCTAAGATGTTCTACATTGAGGCTGCAGTGATCAGATTCGAACGCAAAGAGATTCTCGACCATCACGTGCTTTGTGTCTGATGCGATGATTCAAGCGTTTCTATGTACAGTGCGTTTGATGTTGATACTTCTGAAAATTATTGAAAAATACTACTACTACTACTATAATAATAATAATAATAACCGAATAAATAGTAAGACCAGGAGACCGCATAAAACATACTTTATCTTATTATATGTCCCCAAATATGACAGAATATGTCTGTATATTTGCATGTGTGCGTGTTTGTATGTGTATATGTGCGCGTGTTCTTGTGCATTTATGTGTTTGTGTGTGTCTGTGTGTATATGCAGTTTGGTTTATGAATGTTTTACAAATAAGTCAATGTTTATAGATTAATTCAAGTGTTTTTATTACGCTTGGATGTTTAAAAAAAATAATTTCCTTTAAATTAATAATTAAATAAAAATAAAGAGTTTTCAAACAAATATGAATTAAATATTCAAAAATTTCCAGTGCATAGTGTATGGTCGTTGGCAGCTCTCCATTTGGAGATGTTATCATTGATTGAGGTTAGGAAGGAGGTGGTGAGATATAAATGTGTGGGAAAATGGAATTGGTGATGAAGTAAATACGAATTTCAATTTCGGTAACATGTACTCACACGTATCTCAATCTCAATTCCAATTCTGATTTCAAGTGCAAAAAATTTAGCAAAATATAAAATGTTGAGTTATTTTCATTTCAAAGTGTACTAGAAATCATGAACTAATTTCAATCTTCCAACAAAACTTCATCATAAAAAGTAACTTTGAATTCAGAGTAAAAGATATTGAGATAAATTTATTGAAGTTTAGCGTACGTAAACTTGCATAAACAACTCTCAAAAATACGCACGATTGTAGGTACGTAGGAAAGTTGGTTTGGCGATGCGTACAAAATATAAGTGTGTTTGCAAGCAAGACATGTTCGACTGCATAAACAGCAGAATCTCCATGTCATTGTAAGCCATTGAGTTTGATTAATAGAGCAGTTTTAAACTTTGTTGAATGCATGCATTAGCGTACGTGATAGTTCAACTCCTTTCCTATTTTCGGAGCGTACAAAATCCTAGTATCATAAATTCTAACTTTTTATTGAATTCTAAATGTGTATACAAAAAATTAATTCAACTTGATTGATTTGATAACTAAGTGCTCTATGCATTTGTTTCATTTGATTTTATATTGAGCGTATCTTATTTATTCTTTTCTTCGATATTTTTTAATTAGTTTATTTAACGAGGGTGAGGGCGGACACCATAGTCTACTAATTCATTTTTTAGCAAAACAAAACTAACTGGTGTTGCAATTTTTGAGCTGAAATGATTTTGAATTTATCGAACGACATAACATCAGCAAATAAATAAAAAAACATTATAACCACCTAACGCGAAAAATAAGTTGAGGATGTGGAAAGAAGTGAAAAATGATGAAGAACCGCTACATTCGTCCTTACAACATACTTCTTCATTGATTGCCAGCTGATGGACGTTAATGTTCCTGAAGAGATAAAAAATGATTTATGCAGCTGTTTGCCTAACAGACTGCACGAATAAAAAGCAAAATGAAGTGTTCTGTTTTCGACTTGCGGTTCAACAAAATTTCTCATTGCTAGGGCGGTGATTAAGTGACGCAATTATAGATGTTGTTAGATGTTGTAAAAAAAATTATTTTCTTTTGTTTCTGATGATGTCATTATTTTCTCAAGCGTCTAAAAACAACAAAAACACGGTCATAATTTAGTACAAACTTTCAAGTTTTGTTCTGTATAAAATAGGAAAATTATGATAATGGTTAAAACTAACAACTCAAATCTCGAACTCAAATAAATTTTTTAGTTTTTTCGTTTTGATTACTTTGAAAAAATCTCTGCCGAAAGAAATGTTAATTAAATAACTTAATTCAAAATATCTCTTTTGATCCTTAATTGTTTGTAACAAATTGGAAATAAATAATTTAATTAATTTTAAAAAGATTAAAAAATCTAGATAGCAAAGCAGGCTATACTCGTGAGATTGTCGCTGTAGAGACAAGAGTATCGTTGCTCAACCGCAATGTCATATAAATGCTGATAATTATAGTCTAAATTGAAAAATATTGTCTTGCTTGTTACCCATAGCTAACCCTTGTACTAATTTTGAATTCATTTCATCTGTAATTCAACGAGAAATAACTAAGCGTAAATAGATAAAATGGCTATACATTCACATTGTACCAGAGATTATTTATTTTCTTTTATTCAAGTGTTTGTTTGTAATCGAGCTCTCGTTCTCCTGTCGTTTATGTCAGAGTAAATACCACTGACACATATTTCATCGTGTGCGATCAGCCAACACGAGTCGATGGATATATTTACCATTTATTGCATTCGTATAGTTGTGAGTGTGTGTTTGGTGTATCTTACTGGCATTCAGATTACTAATAAAATTAGAAATTTCAGTTTTACTTCAAGTTTGAATAGTCTTTTTGTCGTTAAACTTACCAGGTTGTAGGCACACCATTTAATTTTTTGAAATTAAAAATATAAAACTAAATTCATTGTTTATAATTGAGGGCGTCACGTTATTTCACCTCTACATATTTTTCAATCCCAATTTTAAACAAAACATGGTACTACAAAAATGTATTCGGTTTTATTTTACTTACTAAATGTTTATGAAAACTAACATCTTTGTTATCATTACTTGTAATATTGTTATACATATTGTTAATACTCACCAGCAAACCGGTGCACAATTTTCAGGGTAGGAGTGTTTTGTCATTAAACAAGCCTGCCCTAGAAGAAATTTTCAACCTTCCAAGCCTATGTTTATCTAAATTGGTTATTCACATGTTAACACGTGTTACAACCCCATAAAAAGTTCCAAATTAACAAAAATAAAACAATCAACAAATAAAGAAATAAAACTAATGATCTATTTGAAGGACTTCAGTCACTGGACTATATAACGTAAAAACACAAATATATACTCTAAGGAAATTTATATGAAAAGCTAAAAGGAATGGCGACCTTGATATTTTTTGGTCATCCGGGCTTAGTCGTTTAAATAACCGAGTGTCTGGGTCCGAAACATTGCCCCAACTAAATGTCAATTCGGAAATGTTAAGAGACTGTTCCCAATTTGGAATCTTATTACATTCCATAATCAAATCAATATAGCCAATTATGAAAATGGTTCATCTTTTTTTTACTGACCACAATCTCCGCACACAAAAAAAAAACAGTGAATATTAGAGACAACAAGCGTGTCTGCTTTTCCTCGTGACCCTCCCACGCCGTTATCTTAAAGGAACTGAATTGAACCAAGTTTCGTCTAAAAAGTTCTTTAGGCCAGGAAAAATGGAAAAAACATCAAAAAAAAATAAATACACTAACAATAATAAATTCATTTATTGGTTTGAATGAAAAAAAAGAGAAAATAAAATATGCACGTTAATAATTAGAATAAATTATTTAAAAGGACTTCAAAAGGGAAGCAACTTGTTGCATGATTTGCATCTGCAAATGTTGGTTAGAAGACCAAGAGGAACAGTAGCCAAATTCATTTTTGTACATTTCAGAACTATTGCTTGATCGTTGGCGGCTGAAAAAACAAACACCCGACGGAGATGCAACTTCGTGACGATGATAGTAATAAAAAATATGGTAAATATAATATTGACAAGGTTTTTATAAAAAATAATGATAATAAAATATAATATAATAATTAATAAAAAATAATTTTTTCGGTTAAAAAGCCTCGGAGCATAACGCAAAAAAATTAATAAGTTCCTTAGTCTCATTCCATAACAAAAAATGAAAACTACAGACACGATTTAAAATTTAATTAACTTTACAAAATAAAAACTCTAAAAGAAATTAAAAAAAATGTTATAAAAGTATTAAACAGCTTCGACGAGCATGGCAATTCCCTGACCGCCCCCTATGCAGGCTGCTCCCAAACCATATTTGGCCTTCAAGAATCTGTGAAACGAAAAAAAATGCGAAAATATTAAAAAAAATTATTTTCAATGAGTTATAGAATATAAATTACATTTACATGAACTTAATATAATATTCAGTCAAATGGTTTTGAATTTTTTTAATGATAAAATTCATCTCTATGGAATGTTTCTTTATAACGAAACATAAGTGTTTTAGATTAAATGAATTTGTAAAATTGTGAATATTACCATTTCCATTATGAAATTAATACACATCTAAAAGAGAATCAAAGAAAAGTGTTTACACAAAATTCAAGCCGATAAAAATAAATATGCTAAGCTGAAATAATGAACCCCTAATGGGAAATTTCAATTGCAACAAACATACAACACACAATCACGCCTCTGGCAATTCAATGTACCTGAGATGATGGACCAAGTGGCCGATGATTCGGTTGCCTGAAGCCCCTACAGGGTGGCCCATGGCAATAGCCCCTCCATTCACGTTCGTCTTCTCTCTGTTCAGTTTCAGGTGCTTCTCCACCGCAAGGTACTGACTTGCAAAGGCTTCGTTAATCTGGAAGAATGGAACGTGTGTGTGGTGTGTGTTTGTATGTGTGGTGTGTGTGTGTGTGTGCACCTAACCATATCAGCACTATCGTCATCGGCATCGTACCTCAATCAAATCCATTTCGTATAGCTTCCTGTTTGTTTTCTTCATGAGGTGTTCAATGGCCGTCACTGGCCCGATTCCCATCAAGTGCGGGTCACAACCTTATAGGCAAGATGCATCATGTCATCATATACGTACCACCAATGAAAAAATAATATAACATGAATGTTTTCAAGCAAAGCTCAAAAAATATCAAATATAAAATTATTCTAAATAATTTAAAAAAAATTTTTAACTTGAAAAATAATGGCCCAGATGCAACTAGATATATACACACATGCGCACACACGCAAACACACACGCACGCACGCACACACACCCACGTAAACACACACGCACACACACACACGTAAACACACATTCAACTAACCAACGATGGAGTATCCAACCATTCGAGCGAGAGGCTTGATGTTGTACTTGACACATGCATCTTCTGTCGCTAGGATGACGCAGGACGCTCCATCGCCTATGCCCTGATGATGATGATGACGATGACGACGATAATAACAATGTTAAGACGATGATAAGATGATGACGACGACAATGATGATAATGACAATTAGGGTGATGTTTACGATGACGGCGAAAATCATGATGGCTGTGATGTGTGAAGTAAGATAAGATAGACACAATTATTAAAACACAAATGAGTGACGAGAATGGCGATAAGAATGAGGACGTGGAATAACAAGGGAGGATACAGACGGAAGCGTTTGCAGCAGTGACAGTTCCATTCTTCTTGAAGACAGAGGGTAGGGAAGCGATGGACTCCAATGTTGTGTTGGGCTTCGGGTGTTCATCGACATCCATCAACTCCTCTTTACCTGTGTCGTATGTTGGTAGTGGAGATGTAGATGAGATTACAACACATTTGATTCAATTAATAATTAATTACTAACATAATCCATAACTAACGTTATTGAGTTTTTGATAGAATCTAGCTACATCTTGAATTATCAATGTTGAGAAAATTTTTATTTTCAAAACAAACGTGAAATATAGAGAATATGCAATCCAACTCTATATGAATAAGATCAAATATAAAAAATAATACAGTAAAATAAATTGAATCTGAAGCCTCTGAGCAACCTTTTTTCGTTTTGATGGTGACTGGCTCAATTTCTTTCTTGAAGTAACCAGCGTCGAAAGCTGGAAAAAAATTTTTTAATAAACAATATAACTTACCATGTCCATAATAATTTCTTTGTAGATTAAAAACGTTTCATTAAAATCAATGTGACAAAATTGTACAGCACTAATGGAATCACATTTGAATGAATTAAATCACAAACTGAAAAGCAAGATAACACAATGAAAAACCTATTTAACCTCCACAACTTAGATTTGCTTGAATATTTTGGAGCAAGAACAAAACAATCATGAACCACAATGCAGAGAGAAACAGCAAACCAACAAAAGAAATACAACAATGCAACAGCAACAACAACAACACAACAATTGAGTACCGGCTTTCCATCTCTTCTGACTGAGCACAGCATACTCGTCAGCCTGCTCCCTTGTTATGCCATACTTCTCCGCCAGATTTTCAGCCGTCACGCCCATAGGCTTGTTGATGTAGCTATCAGTTAAAAGGGTCCACAGTGTATCTTCCAGCTGGTTCGTGTTCATTTCATTTCGTTACTTGTTTGTTCATTCAATCACACATGTGTTGTTTGTTGTTTATAAACGTTTATGTCTTGACCGTTCGTACAACAATGTATATTTTTGGCACGCACATTGTTTCATCTTTAATTTATCAAGGTATAATTGTATTTATCCAGTGGACAGATGAATATAATGACAGCTAAACAGAAGACTCATTTATACAAGTTAATCATTTTTTAAACTGTAAGGTTACTTTTAAAAAAAAGTTGCAAACAAATTTGGCATGAATTAATTAATGAAACAAAAAAATAAAAGGAAACACAACGGAATGAAATAAAACACAACAGAATAAAATAAAACAAAAAGACAAAAGATGCCAACCACAGGATGAACTCCATACTTGACTCCAAACCTGAAACCCCTGACGGCGTGAGGTGCCATGCTCATGTTCTCTGCCCCGCCCGTGATCACTACCTCATTCTCGCCCAACGACAAGCCCTGAAGAAAAATTATAAAAGATGAAAAAAATTGTAGACAAAAAAAATTTGAAATATGTTTTGAATGAGAACCTGACTAGCAGTTATTATGGATTGGAATCCCGAACCACACAAACGATTCACAGTTAAGCCTGTTACATGATTATATTTTTAAATTGCTATAAATAAAATATCAAAAAAATTTAACCATATAAATGAAAGCTAAAATTTGAAAAAAATAGCTCACAGAATTTGCTTACAAATTTAGAAAAAGCAGATAAATAATTAATGATGAATCAATGATGAATTAATAATCAGTAAAATAATTTTCAAAATGGTCGCAAGCAGAAGTGGTGAACGAACCAGGAGATGTGATGGGAATGCCTGCCTTTATGCCAATGTGTCGACTGATGTACGCTGAATCACTTGCTGTCTGATTGGTCAAACAACATCATACCAAAAACATTAAACATTTATTTTAAAATGTGTATCTACATTGAAATATTACATATAATAAAACTGATTGATAAAACAAAAACCAAGTAAAACAAAATGAAAAGATAATAAAAAACAGAAAATATAATGAGCAAAAAATAGCATAAACATCAAAATGCACTTCCATCAACCCTTCCTACATAGCTCCTCTTTCTTAACATCATTTTGATAATTTTTTTTCATTGATTCAATCTAATAGCTCACCTCACTACACACAAAGTTAATGAATAAAAATTGGACCATGTATTTTTCCAACATTTACACTTTGACTGTATAAATTTTACCTTTAATTTATACATTCAGTATACAAAATTAAAAAAAATTAACTACAAATTATACAACAAAGAAATAATGAAAAATAAATATGAACATGTAGAGAGCATTGAATTCGACAAACCTGCCCTGCATTTCCAATAACAGTGAACGAAACCCAGTCGGCATTGATCCTCCCTGCCTTCATGGCAGCCTTCACCGCAACCTCCTGCAGTTGTGTTGGTGTCAAGTTCTTCAACTTACCTCCGAAAGTTCCAAACGGAGTTCGCTTTGCAGCAACAATGAAAATACCTTTTGGAACTTGTTAGGAATATAATACATTTTATAAATTTTACTACATCCATCTAACTTAGTAGCCGGTAACTTGTCAATCATTTATCATTTACAACCCACAAGAACTAAAATGTTTTGAAGATTATTTAAAATAGCAGAATGTGTGTAGTTTCAATTAATAAAATTCAAATATTCACTGCAAACAAAACAAAAAACATATTTTCAACAAAATTTCAAATCAATAAATAAATTAATGGTTGTTTTAATATTTGATAAATTTTAAGCAAAATGCAAAATTAGGGAAATAACGCCAATCAATGCATATACAAAATTTACAGGTAATGTAAATTTTTGAACTAAAGTTCATGTCAAGTCAAATGAAGGTCAATATGAGGCCATCATCATATTTATAAAAAAATTTAAACCATTTTACACTATTTTTAAGAACAAAAATGTAAAAATGAAAAGAGTTGAATTTTAAAACCAAAATTTTCATAAAATTATGATGTTTTAGAAAAATTTATTACAAGATTAAAATAATTTTTTGCCCAGAAAAGAAAAAAATATCCAAATTGTTTTCATTTTTTCTAGCAACATTTTTGCCAAACAAAATACATGACACTCAAAAAAAGTACACAGAAATCAAATAAAATTTTACTTTAAACATAATTGTTAAATTTGGATTACTAAACTTTACTAAAACTAAAATAAACCAATAAAAATAAATACTTCTTGTAATAGCCATGATTGCCTGCTGATTGCCCTTTAACAAAAAACAAACTAGATTGAACGTTCTAAAAGTGGATTGAGATAACAAGATTGATTTTTTTTGCTACTGGCCTACTTCTTCGAATGAGAAGTTTATAATGGTTTCATATACTATACTGTTCGAAAGGAATCTGGATTGAAAAAATGTAGAATAAATCTAAATCTACCTACAGAATTTGACTTTAGAAATATTTCAGCCTCTGTTTATAAACGTCTTTTAAATGTTGAAATAACGTACACACGTCATTTGAGACAAAAATAAGTTCACCTTTTGTTCAATACAACATGCACGTTCTTTTTCATGTTTATTAATTGTTTTATAAGTTGGTTTATACGGCATTTTCTTTGTAAATATATTTTCATTTATATATATATATATATATATATATATATATATATATATATATATATATATATATATATATATATATATATATATATATATATATATATATATATATTTTGTGTGTGTGTGCGCAAATTTGTGTCCTTTACCCGTAAAACCATTTTGCTTACTTAAATGGATACAATTTTAACGTATTCTAATTATATGCATTAACCTTAACAATCACCGATTATGACCCCGCCCAAATTTGATTCTGGTAAACACATATGTGTGCATTCAAATAAAAAATAAGTGTGTTGGTGTTGAGTGAATAATAGATCGAAATTTTTATTTGAACAACATTCTTGTTTTGTTAATATAAATATAGAAATTGCTTTTTGTTCAGTGAAATACTGTGGCCTACTGAAGCAATAGGTTGGCTTAATAGGATTGAGCTATAGTCACTCTTTTTTTGCATGAGATGACATTGCCGTTGATTGATTCTCTAACAATTTCACGCTTTAAATACGCTTCTACGCTAGGTCGACATAAGCCTACGGTTTGTCAAATGAGGAAAAGCAACGTAAAACAATTAAATAGATATGAATATAATGTCCTATTAATGTATATAATTAATAAATAATAATTATTATTTTATACCTATTTATATACTGGCAATATAAACTCAACATGGACTAGCCAAAAATTGTGTAATGTATATTAGGCTTACCTTAAAAGATCTTTGGTGTTGTGTTGGCGTCTTGTTTAATTCTTCAGATATCGGTTTATTGTTTATTGCGGGCTGCTCCTTTTTTGTTGCCTTAACATTAACTTAATTAATAATTAGATGTCTCTTTGTTGAAGTTACTACAAACGACTAGACTGCTTTTTGATTGCAAATGTAAATCAGGTCGGTGAAGCGTCGAGATCAATTTGGTCTAGAGTTAGTCTGGCGCTAGTCTAGTCTCTAGTCAAGTGTCTAGTAAGTTCTAAGTCAGGCAAACCACACCACAACGTAAAAAAATTCAGCAAATTATGATAGAAAAATATTAAATATATAAATAAATACAATAGTAATAAATGACTGAACCAAGAAGGTACTCGAGATCGGAGTTGTTCCCTAGAAGAAGAAAAACAATTGCTGATGTGATTTTCAAGCCTCTTCTTAAAACTGCTGTAATAATTCTTTTTTTTATTAATTTGAGAATTCTTCATTAATTTCTTCCAACAAATTTTTTTGCATTATACAGAGGTATAGTGTAAATCTTTCGAAATCCTCACATTTTTTTCCTAAACCCCGCGACAGAAGTTTTCGGCATTTGGATATTTATAATTATTTCCAGTCAATAAAAGTTACTTTTTATGCTTTTACTATTTTAGTATTAGTATTTCTTCATTAATATTTAACTTTATCCGATTCCATCCACACTTTATTAAAACTAAAAGTCATTTCATAAAAAGATTATTATTATTATTTGATTTTTGTTTGATTATTATTTGTTCAACTGCTTTTTTTTATTCAAAGTCTAAAGATGGGAAGATCACTGAAAATTTGGATTTAAAGGATTTTTTCAATGGAAACGAAACTGCTGTAAAATCTACAGATGAAAATATTGAGACTCTTGAAAGACGAAAATATCCAAAAGGATTCTCCATTTATCAGGCTGAGAGTTTCATAGATGAATCAAAGTGCTTTAGAATTTTTAAATGTTTTTGGAGAAAAGAAGCAACTACTCCTGTTGAGTAATTATATAAATTATTCACTTCAGTCCTATGAAAAGACTTTATTTTGATTATATATTTATTGGAAAGCGCTGGATTAGTAAGTTCTCGTAGACCTTCTTGGTTACCAAGGTCACGTGCTATGTCTGCTCCAAGGAAAGCAACAACAAATTTTCAGCCTGCAAATGTGAATGATCCACAATATGAATCAAATAAAGTTTTGAAAGAATTAGTTCAAGGAATTATTGATAATTCCAACAGATATGCTGTTGGAATTAGGATGACAAGATTTCTTTTTGGTTTTCGACCTACAAACCAAACTCGTTACAAGTTTGTTTACCGTTTGCATTGAAGATTAATTAATATTGTGCCAATAATAATTTCATAATTTTTTATAGAAGGCTGTTTTTTTATTACATATTGATAAATGAGGTTTCTAATTTCAATAGTAGTCATCATAGATTTGTATTTTTTAAAAATTAAAAGTAATTGGTTTAAAAGTACCTACCAGTCAATTCATTACAATTATAAATTGTTGTTTAAATCATTCTAGTCGTCCATTTTTCACAATTTATGTGACTCTAGTTCAGCTGGTAACCTTTATAGTGCTGATATGTATGTTTGGAATAGCTCCTATTGGGACCGGTTACAAAGAAATAAAGGATGAGGTTGGATTGCTCGCATCTCATTTTTCTATTTATTTATTTCTCTCTTTCCATTGAATGTTACTTTTAAGAATAAATGAATAGATAACTTTTCTAATTAAAAGATTTTAATGCCTGATCTGTCATATAGAAATGTTGTGCATTATGAATTGCAAAATATTTGGATTGGTCCAAGACAGGTATTATTTTGCTGTTATAATTATTCATGTTTTCTTTTGTTTGTGCCAAATGCTTGTAGCGGTATAATATTTCCTTCAGTGAGTGTTATTTGTCATTCAGTGTGCATTTGAGTAATTGAATTTTGTACTAGAATATAATTTTAATTGCATATTAGATGCATTTCTGATTTAATAACCATTTGGTTTTTCAAATATAATATGGCATTTTTTTCCTGATCATGTTTCAAAAAACCGTTGTATAAGGAAGATTTGATAAGAGTTGGTGCTCGATTCACACCATGCATGAAAGCCGACCCTGGTCACATGCGAATGTTAAAGAAACACTTGAACGATGTGTCCACGATGGGGTGCTGCATCTACAATGATGGCAGTGGATGTCTGCTTACTATGCAGCTGCACTGCCCAGTTTGATTTTTTTTTTATTTTGCCATTATAAACAATTTTAAACTTTAAATAAAACTAGAAAAACTAGATCAAGAAATATTAGCATAGTGTGTCAAATTATTTTGATATTGGTCCATCTAAAGATTAGTTTTTTTTAATTTTTTCTAAATTTATTACAAAGCCTTTGTTAGCCACTTGGCTGGAAGATAAAATTTGTGGACAAGATCCCAAGTATATTTTGTAATTCTTAGTTCTATATTGTAGTGTCCTTAAACTTGGTACATTTACACTACATTTATAGCTATTGTGAGGATCCAGATCGAAGATTGTGGTCTCCTAATAAAACTGAATGGCCAGTATGTATATGGGTTTTTCATTGTTTTAAAAATAATAATTTCTTTGAAAAATATAATATATATTAAATAAAATTTAAATAAATTTGATGAGAATTTTATTTTAATATCATTAATGCATTTCAAGATTTGTAGGAAGATGCTAAAAGAGCCAATGAGTCCTAATAATGTAGTAATGGATCATCACATGCAGTGTCAGTTAATGGGCAGGCCATGTTGCATCGGTGTGTTGGGGGTGTGTATCATTACGACCAGGGAGTATTGCAATTTCAAGAGGGGTGCTTTCTATCAGGAAGCTTACCAATGCTCACAAGTTCTCTTTATTTATTTTCGTTTTTCTAAAATATTTACTATTACTTCCTCTACAGATCTGCTTTTGTCACCACCGTTCGCGATATTGTCGCCATTATTTCGGCTGGTGCTATGGTGTTTTCATTCATAAAAAAATTAATTGTAACATCATCGAAGCTGCTGTCACTACTATTATGCTTTCTTTCATTTTCAATAACATTCAAACTAATTTTGGTATAATTGTAATTCAGGCAAATTGCTTTGTGGAAACTTGTGGATTGCAGCCATTTCTCAATCCAAAAGTACCTGATCAGTTTTCAAGAGCGTTCCTTTCTCTCCTAATTATCCCAGGGTTTGTTTGAATTTTTTGTTATTTCATATGTTTGATGACTGGTTATTAGGATTGTAAAGTGTTAAGTTGTTAGCAAGGGATTAAATAAAGTTGATCTTTCACACTGCTTCAAACATATATAAATAAATGATAAAAATTTTCAAGACACCATGCACGATGAAACAAGCACTGAACATTTTCGAATCCCTCTCAAGAATTGGTGCACCTGCAGAAATTCAACATGTCAGCAAACAACATGACTAAAAACAAATAGGGGCGGAGAAATATTACACAATATTATATTTATATCAATCACTACCCCATTAATTGTGAATCTACACTATTTAAGATAATAAATAGTATGATATAATTTTTCACTTGTGCCAATATCTTGGCTAATTTATTCATCTGTAATGTGTTAGATCATGATGACTTTGCCCTGCTGAACGAATTATTTCAACTCCAGTTGAAGTGTTTTATAGTTTACACCAATCAAAATGCGCAGCGAATGGTATTTTAACATTACATGATGCGATTTTCTCTGCAGATTATTTGTAATGGTGGTCACGCTGTTTTTTCAAATGATAATCATGTACGATCTTGAACGGTTGACGGGAACATTCGAAATGACGATCGTTTACGTTTTGTGCGGCTGTTGTGGCAACCTCTTTAGCGGTATCTTTATGCCCTATTATATAGAAGTGCGTTCAACTATCAAGTGCGTAACATTAATCCATTTGTTTGCTTTGAACGTTACTCAATATTTCATTGTGCAGTTAGGCCCATCTGGATCGCAGTTTGGTGTGTTGTCCATTTTGTTCGTGGAGATCATACGTTGGAACATTCAAGAACAGCCTCGGACAAGCTTTTGCATCGCAATTTTCGTTTTGCTCGTTTTGTTTATGGTTGGCCTGATCGTACCCCAGGTTAGATGGTAAATTGTGAAAACATTTGTTATGATTTATTTTTTGACACGGTCTTTGTAGAACAATTATTTCGCATTTATTGTTTATTCTGAATTTCCTCAATAATGAGATGGTGGGCGATGCGATGGTGCAACGGTAATGTGCACTTGCTTTTGCAGTGACCGTATTCAATTGCGTCGTTTCACGTGTATTTTCATGCACGGTGTGTCTGTTGTTGACACTTTAGAAAAATACTTAGGAGAGAATTGTAATAAATAAATAAATAATGTGAAATTTAAATTTAAACATGCCAGGTTGACAACTGGGCGCACTCCTGTGGTCTGATTTATGGCTCTTTCATATCCATCGCTTTTCGACCTGTTAGAAGAATTGTTAACAGACCAATCAGCCGGTTCATGATCACGTTTCAGAGACTCATCGGCGTCGTGTTCACTGTTTTCATTCCAGCCGTGCTTCTATTTTTCTTTTACTATGTTAATATGGAGTTTGAATGCACTGCCTGCGTGCATTTCAACTGCGTTAGTTTCACTCGAGATTACTGCGAAGGAACTAGCATTACTTTAGAATACAATAATATGATGCTGACATATGAACTATAAAAAAAACTTTGCTTTCGACGTCTTTTTATTTCATCTCTTTTATATTTGTGATACCGACGCGTTTTAAATTAATTATTTATACAGATTTAACATTTAAAAATAGTTAAATGGTTTTAATTTTTCAAGTCGAACATTTACTTGCGTTGGAAAAAAATATTTGAATGCCGTTTTATTTGCATTGATAGTCCGTGCCGCGTCGTTCAACATTACACAAGTGCACTGAGAATGTCCTGCCATATCTTCATCGACTGGCAATAAATATAATTTTTGCCTTCTTTTCTTTTATAAACCTGTGCAGTCGTGCTGCTTGCATGTAAGGGAAAGATTTAAAAATGTTCAACGCCTCTGCAGTCTGAATCTGATGAACGGATTTCTGTTGAATAAAACGTCCATTTTTATCAATTATTTTTTCTTTGTGGAGTGACGCCCCGCCCGTCATAATGGACCCACGCTTATGAATAAATATTATATATCATTGTTTTCAAACTTGCGCACGCACGTTTCGCCCCGATGACATTTTAATTTATGCAAATTTTATTCCGAGTTAAAATGAATGCAAAATGTCAAAAAACAATTTTGTTGAAAATAAAATATTCTGAGGGTTGCCTGGTATTTTTAACGAAGAAATTTTTGTGTCGGCGTAACAGCTCATATGTGTGTCTTGATATTGTGCAAATTAACATTTTTCCCAATGTCGCAGGCCATGGCACTTTGGTTATTCTAGTTCTTCTTTCAGATAGGCTAATATCCTACTTTTCAAGGAACACAAATGATTTGTCGTGAATGAATTCCAACAACAATTTTTTGGACAATGAACATAATAGGGGCGATATTACTCGCATATCTAATTGGATTTGAACATAATAATAAAGCCGATTATGAATGAGTTCACACGTTATTGGCCTTCAATCAATCAATCAATTAGTTTATAAAGCGCTATTTCCGCGATGTTCAACAGCGCTCCTCAATGAATTTTGAAAACAGATGGGTCTTGAGATCCGCTCTGAACTTCGCAAGTGATGGAGAAGTAGTTAGAGAAGTAGGTAGAGAGTTCCAGAGAAAAGGACCAGAAAAAGCCAAAGCAGATTTGGTAAAAGAGTGTTTAACACGAGTTAAGAAAAAGCGAGAAGAAGAAGACGATGGTAAACCTGGGCGTTTAGGTTCAATTAATATATCTGATAAATACTTAGGAAATAATTTAGATTGAGACTTATACATGAACGTGCAAATTTAAAAAAAATATTCTATATTTTATAGGTAGCCAGTGCAAGAGAACAAGATATGGAAATATATGAGAAAAGAAAGGGGCACGAGCAACTAGACGAGCAGCAGAGTTAGAAGCTTTACTTAAAGGATAGAGTATAGAGTCAGGAAGACCATAGTAGAGCGAGTTACAATAATCAATCCTAGATAAGACTAACGAAGTAACAAGAAGGAGAAGAGTAGGATCATCAAGAAAAGGCAAAAGTTTTTTTTATTCTACGTAGATGAAAGTAAGAGCTTCTAGCAACACTATTAATCTGAGAAGAGAGAGACATAGTAGAATCAAAGATAAAACCTAGACTACGAAACTTATGAGAGACATCAAGAGTTTTAGAATCAGGTAAGATAATAGGAGGAATAGTAATTGAGTGTTTAGATTTATTAAAACAAATTAATTCAAACTTAGAAGGATTAAGTTTAAGACACATAGAGTCAGATCAACTTGTGCAACTTTAATTCTCAACTACACATTGAAACAAGTTGTTTTATTATTTATGCAGAGGATATTTACAAATAAAAAAAATAAATAGTTTATTTATCTTTCCAAAAACTTTGGGTAAATCATAATATTGGCGATTCGGTTAAACCAATAACAGTACAATGTAAATATGTGTAGAATAATGACAAAAAGTTAATAATCGAGGGAGCGCTTTTAATCAGAATTATTCTCTACTGCTTCGTTTGCGTTACCAACTTGTCAAAATATCCTCTACTGCTTTGTTTGTGTTATCAGGAGCTATTTAAGTGTGCTTATGTCAAGTTTAGCATTAATTTATTAATTTACTATTCGTCTTGATGTTCAATAAAATCGAATATATACAGGTCTATATGTAGGTCTACATGCCGACTGATAAAAAGTTTCCGGGGTAAAACAAATGGTTAGAGGCCTTGGGGACGAAACGACCTCAACCTATTCTCAAACTTTAAATGAGTAAGAAGTCAGACCCGCTCGGTTGGAGTCGGGCCATAACGAATGCGAGTGCCAAGTGGGCCAATTTTGGTAAGCAGAACTGGCGCTGCCGGATTTCAACATCGCGTCGCTGGCGTCAAATACAAAGTTAAGCGGCTTTGACCACAAACTAACATTAGAGGCGCAACTAAAAATTAATTGGAAGTGCAAAGAGTTTGGCGACCTTTTTTGTACTATTTTGTTTATTCCACATTGTTTCAACAAAATTAAAAAAAGCGTTTCTTCACAAAAATGCCATAAACCCTTCCCTAATTTTAGAATGTATTATTATAACACTAATATTTTCAACTTGTCATTAACAATTTTAGAATTGCATTATCTCCTGTTGCGATAGTAGTGGCATTTTTTTATCAATTTAAATACACTCCTAACACTACATTATATTTACCAACTTAAAACTTAACGTTAAACTTAAAAGAAAATGTTCACATTTCTTTTTAAGATATCCTTATAATTATCACTTTGATAAGCATTTAATAGTTTTCTAATCATGGCCCTTTATCTTTTTTGAATGCTTGCTCACGCATGATATTCCCGAACGTAAATTCTCTTAACATTTCCTCAAAGGTCTCAGTTGATGAATTATTGGTCATCGCAGGTTAATTTAAATGTTTCTATTTACTATATTCGAGCCCCATCTATCCCAATGCTTACTTGTTCTAAACACTTAAATGAGTCGATTTTGAAATTAAATTTTCAGCACTAAATTTTCAAACTACTGACGTTTTCAAGCAGCTCAGAAATGACAAATTAAATAAAAAACTCGTTAAAGGCTTTCATGAGTTTCACTTTCGTTTAGCAGATTTTTTTGTAAAAAAGTTGGTGTTTGTGCATATTGTTGAGAACACCTTGAAAGTTTTATTTATTAGTAGGAAAAAATTTAAAAAAATAAATTGCAGCTAATTTAAAATTTTTACTGAAAAAATAAGAACCGGCAAAGAATAAAGACATTAATCGAAGTACATAATTTAAATGTATGATTTAACGATGGAAACAGAAGATTAATGAGAATATCTAATTGCGAGTATAAATTTCAAGAAATGACTTATAGGTAAGAATGTTAAATTTTTATAACATTAAAACATAATGAAATAGCTCGACTATGATGATATTTGTGCGTGTGATTGAATCTTGTGTCTTTCGCGTATGTTGGTCGGTACATGTACAATATTACATATGCTTCTACATTGTAATTGAAATGTTAAAGGATGTGTATTCAGTGGCGGATCTAGGAGGCCGGGGGCCAGTGCTCCCAGTTGTGAGCAGTATTTGTATAAAAGTCTGTAAAATTCATTGTTTGAACGGAAAAAGTACAGTTTTTGACGAAAAAATGATATAATAAGAAAAAAGGTCGGCCCGCCCCGTAAAAATAATTAACCCTCTATCTACATTGGAACATGTTCACAAATTTATTTCCCTGGTGAGTGTTGGAACGTTGGAAAATTTTCAAAATTTAGGCCCCCACTAAAGTTGTCTAGATTGGCCATAGCGCGTACTTGCTAATAAAATCGATTGATTAAGTTGAAAAGCTTATGTTATTATAGAGATTCAAGTTGAGTCGATGACCTTAAGTTGTATGCACTGATTTTTAGTGAGGAAAACAGTTTAAATAATAACAAATATAATATAAAAATGACAAAGAAAATTTCAGTAATTTTTGTGTTAACAGTCTACATTGAATTCCGTTGTGACATCGAGTATAATGATTTTTTTTGTAGCCATCATGTTCGCCGTTGCAGTTGCAGCTATTTCATTTATCTTGGGCGGCGTGATAGCCAAGGGGCTAGGGTTGCCTGGTTCTGTTTCGCAGTGCGTGCAGTGACTGGGTTCGGTTCGAATATGACAAATGCCTATCACATTATTCGTGTGTGATGCGTCGTTTTACATGTAATCATGTACGATGTTTGTGACGTGCTGTTGATTCCTCTTAACCTAGGAAGAGTGTAATTGACCTTTAACCTTTAATTAGATACTGCATCTAAGATATTAACGCATTTATTTATCATTAACGCTTTTAACCAATTATTCATTATTAATGATATGTAAAACTTACACTTAACAACGACACATACTTTTGTAATATCCATGGCTATTATAAGCCCGTATATGAAAGAAAGATTTAATTCTGGATGTATTCACGAACGCACGCGTGTGCATCGCAGCAAACAGAATGCTCATTTGCTACGCATTCAATGAGTTTGTCTGAAACATTTTTCGAGATTGAATTTCATCTAGCCTTTTAAAGTTTATAATAGTTTGTAAATTTCTTTCAAATAATGGATATACACATTTCAACTATCGTGGCATCTTATGTTAACAACACGTACGGAGCGATAACCACATCTTCACCAATATATCCATTCATCGAATACTACGAATTATCCTACAGAATTATCGGAACGATAATAATGTCAATAATATTTGCAGTTGGATTCATTGGTAACATCATGGTGGTGAGTAAATTTTTCATATTGAATTGTTCAATATTAAAAAATATTTTTGTTTATAGTGTTACAATACGCGAGTTTTTTCAGTTGCATTTGCATACACCGTGAAATGTAGTTTAAAATAAAATTTAAAAGTATTAGTATGCATGTTTGCAAAAGAAATGAAATGCTGCTACGCCTTATTGATTGCAATCGATAGCAATGTTAATGGTTTTGTGCCTAACTTTAAAAACTGTAAAATTAATTTTAATTCACGGAAATTTTTTAAATATTAAAATTGAGTAATTCCAAAAATGCAGGTTATTGTGGTGCTCCGCAGTAAAAGCATGCATTCTTCTACAAATTGTTATTTGGTTTCGCTTGCGGTCGCGGATTTACTTCTTCTTCTGTCGGCAACTTTACCAACAATAATAGAATTCCATTTAATCGTCGACGAGTTTGCGGCTGGTACCTCTGCCTGTTCCATCATGGTTTTTGTTCAATACTTAGGATTTAATTTGAGCTCGTTGTCTATTACTGCATTGACCGCTGAACGATACATCGCCATCTGTAAACCAATGAAAGCTCAATTTATATGTTCAGTTGGAAGGGCAAAAAAAATTATTGCGGCACTCTGGCTGTTTGGCCTCTGCTACAGTGCTCCGTGGCTAGGGTTAAGTCACACTCGTGCTAAAACGAATTCACATTTAGAAGAATGTACGTTCAGACTGGAAAGGAAATATTATTTGGTTTATTATTTAACAGATTTGGTTGTCATGTATTTAATACCAGTTCTCGCCAATATAATTTTGTACGCACTGATTTCGAGATCTCTCTATCGAAGCAACCCAATCTCTGCTGCTTTCAACGTTGTTGCCGCAGCCGCTGCTTCGTGTCGCTCAGAAAGTGGCAGCGGCAACTTAGCGGAAATTGTTAAGATGTCTAATTTCAAAAATCCAAGTTGCAGTTTAAAATTCGATAGTGTTAAAAAATCAACACATTTGAAAAATGTTGCAAATTCAAAATTTGAATCTAAATCTAAACAAATAGTTACTAACAGTTCAAAGTTATTTGTATTAAAACGCTCTTTGAATAACTTATCTAATATTGAGGCCATTGATGACTCAAAATGTCAGTTCATTACAAATAAAAATACACTGCTTCAATCAGCCGAGGCTTTCGACACTAAACAAGTTGACAAATTGGCCGATATATCTATATGTACTGAATTGAAAAGAAACCAGCGTATTTCTAGCGATCATGAATTTGCCCAACAGAGAGAAACAAAATTATATAATGAAGATTTATCTGCTGACAAAAAATTGAAAATGGCTTTAAAAAGTAATAAATCAATTCACAACTCCAAATTTTTTAACGACCATCAAAATAATAATCGATCATGTTCATCAGGTATACAGTGCACAACATCAAAAAACACGGGATTCGATAATGAACTAAACAAAATTGTGCAGCCTATACCTTCTTCAGAAAGAAGTGAATGCGGCGACGTTAATAACAAAATTGTTTCCGTCGGAACATCTTCGCATCCATCAAAACTGCACCACGTTGAAATTTCGCCGAACGATCAAGCTAAAATCACAAAATCAAATTATCTCGTATCTGGTTGTCCTCAACATTTCTCATCTGCCATTAAAGTCAGTAGAAAGAAATCCAGATTCATTAGCAAGTCATCATCGACCAACAGCAGCCATTTTGGTTACGGAGCGACTCTGCAATCCAGAATGCAGGTCGTATCCTTCATCTATTTTTTCATAACCAATCATCCATGTTCATACGGTTTATGATTAAATTGCTTCGAAAGAAAATATTTTTTGCTGGTTTATTTTTATAATTATGGAGCTAAATTGATAAATGGTGAAAATAATGTAATATAACATAATCGAACTGTAGGGCACACATACACAAGCCATCAGAAACGTGCACTTATACTTGAATTAAACAGCATCGTGCACGGAAACAATTTTCTTTTATGATCGAGATTAGGATAAATTTTATTATCACGTGGTCTTTTTTAAAGCTTCCAAAACCGTTTTATCTTAAGTTGATTCAATTTTTTGTTTAAATTTTTTCAGTTTTATTTCAACGCAAATTTTATTATCATTTTTAAAGACGTGTCAAATCACATCAATTTTGTTATTAGCGTCGCCGCATTCACTTCTTTCTGAAGTATGTATAGGCTGTACAATTTTGAAATCATTTTCTGCACCGATTTATGAAGACAAAAGGGCTATTAAGTTTTGTCAATTTTGTTAGTCATATATAGATTTATTTTTTAGAATCAGTTAATTTCATTCAAAATTCATATTCTTTTGAGCTTCTCATTCTTTTCAACCGTTGGCTATTTTTTATTTTCCAAGCCATCCTGCATTTGAAATTGTTTCAAGTTATCAAGAATTTGAAATTCAAATAATCGTTCAGTATCGATAATAATTTGCTTTTTAAATTTTGTGTTCAGTTTTGCCATTCGATATCTTTTCAAATTAGCCATTTCAAATACGATTATTTAAAAACTACAAAATTGCATTGCGATTAAGAAATGTATCTTTATTAGTTTACACTTTGCTGTAACTTTGTTGAAAATTTTGAAAAATGTGCGAATATCATTATACAATAATATTACTTTTCACGAAATTTGACTGCAACGCGCATACAATTGCAATGCATGCAATCTGTTACCAGGTTATTTTTCGATTTCTCATGTTTTTGTTTCAACCTACACTTTGGTAGCCGAATAAACACTCCAGTGAAGTGCACTAACATAAAATTAGTAAAGTCAATTGAGGGGGGGTGGAGCTGAAACAGTTTTCAGTTCAAATTTTTACAAATTTATGTAGAGATTTCGTTCAATTTTGTCTTTATCGACAAAATCCTGGCCAAACGCTACTGATTATGTTAGTAGTAACGAAAGAGTGCGCATTACCTAGCGTAGGCATGTGTACGTTCTGGACTTAAACTTGAATAATGACTAAAGTTTTGTTAAATTTTCTTGTTAAATTTAGCAGCTAGATAAAAACACTAGCATTGTTTTAAATAACTTTGGACTTTTTTTCGCACTCGAATTAATTTTAACACGAATGAATTTTTTTGTTGAAAATAATCAGCAGTCATATATTATCCGCGCGCACACAAACATACACAGACAAACACACTCGCACGCACGCACACACACACACACACACAAACAAACACGTACAGTACACACACATATATTATTTATACTTAGTCGTGAAACATAAAAAAGTTGCATGCAAAGTACTTACACAAGGAAGAAAGTTATAAAAAGAAATGTTCGTTTCACGCAGCTTTCACATATACAAAAATTAAAGCTTTTCTCGTTTATTTTATTTTATTTAATGTTTTGGCCGCACCATACTTTTTGTAAAATGTTTTGTCAGTTTCAACTGCTTGCTGCTGCATTGTAAATGTACGTCCATTGTGACCTCGATATTTTCTATTCTCATTTTCTATCTTGCGGGCTCAGCCAATTGTTTGAACAAACAAACGTGTGGGCCCGTTGGATAAGGAATAAAATATGGATGACACCCAGACTGCCATTCCTCTCTCGGCGAAATTTGCGTTGTCAAATTAAATAATTGTTTTTAGTTTTACGATGTTTATTGTTGGAATTTCAATTATGCTCTATGGGTATATTTTTACTGAAATTTTGTATGTTTATTTATTGCCAATCATTTTTTTTGCCACACAAGTTTCCTGTTTTTTGACTGTTATTATTACAACAATCATTTATACATCCACAATTACAGCTTTCCCTGCAGCCTTCCAGTTGATCTACAATTTACATAATTTTTGTTTTTTTTTAGAAGTCTTCCACAACACATTTCATTTGCAATGAATTCACTTGTAAAAACATTGAACTAGACTTTATTTCTATTTAATTTCAATCTTTCTCTGGTGTTTACTGTTTTTTAAATCTTTCAATTTCAAAAGTTGAAAGTTAAATTTTTAACACTTACAAGTCACAATTTTTCCTTCACTGTCCAGTTTCTAATCTTGTCTTCTTTCATTTATAAAAACTACAGAAGCTTGTGAATGCTGAAACTGTGAGTCATCAATCACTCCACCTACTTTGTTTTTTTTCCAAAAGTCCAAACTGTTTGGAAAAAATAGTTATAAGACCTAAATACTTTTGGTTTGTTGCTGCTACTTATTATCTTTGTTGTTGTTGTTGTTGTTGTTGTTGGCGTGAGTGATGATATACGGTACACTAACAATAATAACTTTGTCAATTATGTTGTTTTACCCTACCAAAATGTCATATAGTGTCATTTCTAAATGTTGGGATCTTGATGATAAGAACAACGATACATTTGGTCAATTTGTGAACGCAAAAGAATGGAGCCACCATGTGACTAAGCTATTAATTTAGATAATTAAACACAAGTGCACGAGCAAAATAAAATAATACGCAACTGCATTCTCCGTTCATGCAGCTGGACAGTCCAATTTAGTTTATCCTGAGTTGGAAAAAACTGTAGATGAATTTATGCGGAAACACGCGCCACAATTTTAATTGTTAGACCTGTTTTAAAACGGCAATTTTCATACATAGTAAAAAATGCTATTTATCTTTATTATTTAAAAAAAGTGTCATTGTTTCGTGTGTGTGTGCGTGTGTGTGTACATATGTGCGTTAACGCATGTTTGCGCCTTTGCGTTCATACATGGATGGTCTCATGTTTTTGAAAGTATTAGTGGTATGGTAGTGGAAAATTTTATATTTATGGTGATTAATTTGTTTGTGAATGTTCATTCATCTGTTTGTAAATGTTCATCTCGTGAGGATGGCATAAATTGACATAAGAAAATTTAATCAGCATGTGCTTGTGAGATAAGAGCTGTGAAAATTATTTTCCTTTCTTATTTATTCGCAAACAAATAAAATTGCGAGACTTGCGCGAATCCTTATAACAAAATGGAATATTGATGTTTGTTTGTTATTAAACATGCGCTCTGCGTTGTTATTACTTTATCGAGTTCACTTTTCTTTCTTTTCCCAATTTTCATTCACAGTTTTTATTGGTCGGGTGACTGTATCACTCAGATATATTTTTTTATTGTGGTACAAAAACGGCATAGTCAACTTCATTCTTTCATATATATATATATATATATATATATATATAAACTCATTCAAGATGAGAACGAACAACGCATTTTATACTGCGCGTGACAGACAAAACGTTAGAAAGCAAAAGATAAATAAATATTCAACTCTTTAAACGACAAAAAAACACCTCGAATTCTTATCAACATAATATAAAAAAACAAAAGATAAACTATATATATATATATATATATATATATATATATATAGTTTCATATCTATGATAGGTCAAAAATTAGGGAAAACCTCAAAAATTCAAACATTGAAAGGAGAGGAAAGTAGACAAATGACAAAATTTTTTATTCGGCAAATATTTTCGTATGTATTTTAACTGTTAATTATAGAAAGAACTTTTACATTATCTTGAACTAATTTAAAACGGCTGGTGGTCGGTCCGCGACGGTTTAACAAAAATAATCATGAAATTGATGGGAATTTTTATAATTTGGTTAGTTGCAAAAAGTTGTGCAAAATTATATATATATATATATATATATATATATATATATATATATATATATATATATATATATATATATATATATATATATATATATATATATATATATATATATATATATATATATATGTTATTAATTTATTTTTAATTTTCATGAAATATAAATTTTAATTTATAGCCAAAAAATGTAACTGAATTTACATTTTAAAATAAACACAGTCACCAGACGCACATTATAATTGATGAGAGGGCGCTTATAAAAGTTTGAAAACGTTGGTTCATGTTATATCCATTTATCCTTAAATCAACAAGTGCATTTTTATTCAGAAGTTTATAATCGTTTACAGAGAGAGAGTCCAAAACTTCCAACGACTACGTTCAATGCTTTTTAAGAAAATGTTGTTCAACGGATCGAAATAAAATGTTGGTAACTTAACTGATAACACAAAAAGGTTACACGTGAGTAGGTTGATTGACTCACTGTAAAAACATTTTTGTGTCATAAACTTTCTCACAATATATTTGGGTGTACTTTGTGAGGAAGTCCGCCGTAACGAAGGTTTACTGTATGCAAGTTCTCCCTCCTCTCTCTCTCTTTCTCTCTCTCTCTCTATCTCTTTACCTTCCTCTGTATTTTTTTCTCTCTCTCTTTTTCTCTCAATTTTATATATACATTTATATGACATCTATGACTGTGTTTATGAAGTTATATGTTAATGGTATATGTATGTTTATCGATACAACTAAAATACAAATGCAAATTGTATATATATAGATGCGTGAGGCTGGTTAAATGCGTGTGTGCAATTGTGCATACGTGTATGATTGATTTCGTCATGAATCTTAGCGTCTGATTTAATTACCTTCATCAATCACGGTATTGTTTTGCAAATTCGTGAAAACGTGCGTTTCATTTGATTGGACACCTACCTAGATGTATACGTAGACAATTTCATTAAATTATACACACACACACACACACACACATACACACACACACACACATAAATATATATATATATATATATATATACACACATACATATATATATATATATATATATTTATATATGCACGAATTAATTGATTAATGTTTATCTATTCATAATTGTATAGTATTAATGTCGATCTATTCATAAGTTTATCTTGTTCATTCGTATTTTATCGTTCAGCTTGGCTTCGTGTGAATCATCTTCGAGCTCATGGTTAAAACAATAGCTACATAGCTAGATATTATTATTAGTTAGTTATCTTCTTACTTCCTTACTCCGGTATTTATTTTCCTCATTTTATAATATTTTCTTGCAAGTTGATTCAGCGTCTAGCGGATTATGATTTTTTTAAAGAAAAATAAATAAAAGTTTTAAAGACTCGCACAGCGAATTTCAGACATTAGTGATTGAGATCAATTGAAACGAAATTATTTAAAAAAAATTAACTATCGAATATGAAATAGGCAAGTTATTTTATTGACATTTCCTCGATGTACCACCGTTTTATGAAAAATATTTTTGTTAACATCATATATTTAACTTTTTCAGCTCATAAAAATTTAAATAATGAAAAAAATACTTCATTAAAAACATAAATGAAAAACCTAATCAAGTGTTAAATTGACACATGTGCATTGGGTAGGACTTTTATTGCAAGAAACGATTTCATCAACATCATTTGAATGCAACTCAACAAAACCGATCACTGTATAATAGAGTTTTGTGGTTATTTAAACTTTTTCGTATTTGTGACACGATGTAGCAACCATGAAATGAACACATACATATTTAGATGCTTCACAACAACCTACAAACGTTTTTCAACTTTGAAAACTCATTATTTTTACAGAAACCTTTCTTAAAATATTAAACATTCTGGTTCCTTTATTGAAACAAATGTTTCTGGGAACAAATCCAAAAAAAGATAATCTTGCTGTCAACGTTTCATCAATGAAACAATTTGTCAAAGTTGAAGATAATTAGAAAGGAAATGTTTAATTGGAGCCTGTAAGGTAACAGGTTGGTCGACTTTGTTACTTAGAAATGCGGTAAATTTGAAATGATAAGATTCTTCAGAACGATCAAACATTGCTTTTACTCACAAACAAGCTGCTTTTTTCTTTCTTTATGCAATGTAGCCCACCACAAAAATGCAGTCACTGCCGATGAGTTTGAGACGATAAGCTAATTCAATTTATTTTTTTCAATTTTATTGTCAAAATCTCATTATATACATTCCTGAAGACCGTTATAAAAAGGCGTTATATTTGTGATAGGATGACACACACCTTACATAAATTGTTCACAAATTATTTATATTCTTCTACAATGGATTTTACGATATACGGAATAATATATGCCAACAGTTGTGTGAAACAGGTTTTCTTTCTAACATACATATTATATATATATATATATATATATATATACATATATTTATATATATACATATATATATATATATAAAGATATATAGATATAGACATATTATAAGAAAGCGAAACAGTTTATCACAGCGTAATATAAATTGGGAAACGTTCAACTTTTCAAAAATATTGCCAATGATTAATGAGTTCATGAAGCGAAAACTTTATTAGCAGCACGAGTTTTTATGACCAATTGCGTGAAATTGCGTGATAATGGTAATTTTGCTTCGTATTTTTAAGCTTCGTTCGACATTCTCATCACGTTATTAATTAGCGATCATCAATCATAAAGAGAGTCTTCCCAGCGTCCAATCCACTTTTTGTTTCAGTTTGCTAGTAATCCACTTTATTAACTTGACCACATCAACTTGCATTAACTAAAATAATTATGAAAGAGATTCACATTTTGGCTTTTTGTTATTCACAGGGATTATTTATTTAATCAGTTGAAATAAGATTTATAGGTATAAAAATTTTTTGTTTTCTTCTTACCATAAATTACGGGTGTTAGCTGCTAAAAAATTTTTATTCACAACTGTAGTTTTTGAAAATAATAAAAAAAAAAATTCATTAATCTTTGATAAATTCATTAAGTTTATTGAAACAGTTTCTATTTGGTACCTATGTCAATTCTTGTTGAAAATCAAAGTTTATTTCATACAATTTTTAAACAATCGTCTTGATAAATTTTTGTGAAAATTCTTTTGTATTACTAATTTTTTGTTTTCCCCAATACACTCCACATACCTCCTTACATTTGATTTGTTACTTGCTCAGTTACAATTAAATTTTTGTGACACCAACTGCACGTTCATCCAATTCTTACATACACATAAGATGCGCGAGCAAGCACCGTATCATACGCAGACAGCGTACGATCGTATTCGAACCAGACCATCGCGCAATAACAGCGTCGCGAGACGCGTCCACTGAACGATTTCGCCGATCCATTAATTTGAAAAGCATTTGCTTCATCATACTTTTAAGTAAAATTTAAATCGAATTTCTCGAATACCGTCTATGATTGATTTATTTATTTCCCATGTTCCATTCTCGTTTAATTCAATGCACAACTGCTCTTTCTAACATGACTAGAAATTGATTTTCCTCTAGTCTTTGTTATTGTATTTTTCTTATTTTAATGATTTTGTCACATATTTTTTATCTTTATTATTCTATTCACATTTTAGCTAAAATTGCGAGTTTTTCACAAAAATTCAAAACATCAATCTTATTTCATTGTGCTCATGTTGACACAGTAAACACGTATCACTTTTTTGGTTAACGATAATTTTGCAAACTTTTTCAAGTTGAAACCAATTTTCATAACGAGTTATCTCATTATATTTGCATACGCGGTACGATTTGTCATGTTGTGCGTGTGGCTGTGGACTGTGAAGCTGGACAGCCGACTCCTTCCACGTTTTACTCGATGGCAGTTTGCCTTGCAGCCAGCAAACGATTGCATTATTCTTGTGCCCCATGTTTAACATTGTTCACGTTCTGTGCACGACAAAAAGAAAATCAAACATCGTTTAATGATGGCTACGTGTTAAAATATTTTATGCGTTGTAGTACTAAGCTTTTGCCTCTAAGGTTGAATGGAAAATTTTGTTGTACTAAAATTTTTTTTAACCATTCTCATTTTTTATATGTTTCTTCTCTGTAGTATTTTTTACTTTTTTCAAATTTACAGCGTTATTAACGCTTCAAATGTCTTATTGAACAATCATTATAAACACTGAATAAATATACTTCTACGTTATTCTCATTAGATCATAAAGATGCTGGTGATAGTGGTCGGACTGTTCGCCGTACTCTGGCTTCCGTACCGCCTGTACGTCGTGTACAATTCCTTCCTTGAGAAGAGGCTGGAGGACATTTGGTTGATGTTGATCTGCAGGACCATGGTGCACGCCAACAGCGCCATCAACCCTATCTTGTACAACGCCATGTCCATTAAATTCAAGAGAGCTTTCAAAAAGTTGTGCTCCTGTCAGAATAAAAGATGAAACCATGTCGTCCTTTGTTATATTTTCTGAGATGGTATCGAATCTTGATGGGATATAAATGGAAACAAAAATTTTAATTAGGCTTTAGGTTGAAAAAAATTTTTTTCAATATAATAATTGTTAAGGTTTTGCCTGACGAATCAAATTTGTGTGTTGTGCATAAAATAAGCATCGTCTTGTAGTGAGTTAGAGACTCAACTACAGTCCCGGTGCTGTGCTGAAACCTTGCCTCTGTCGAGTTGAATGAAAGATTTTTCGTTAAGTTGTTTTGGCGCAAACAAAATATCACCATATTATTTTTGGTTTAAACATTGTAAATAAATATAAATTTTTAAAAATTAGTTAGCTAACAACAGATATTATTATTACAAAATGTATTGAGAATATTTCAAATAACTCTACTTATAAATTTTGACATGTCATTACGTTCAGAAGAAATTTAACAAAATTTTCGCATTCTATTTTTAGTTCATTGTGGTCTGTGATATCTGAAATTTATTTTTGATTCATTTTAATAAACAGATAGGCTAACGTTTAACTAGACATTTTTTCATAAAAATTTACATTGTCAAATATGATTCTAAAATTTTTCAATTTAATGTAAATTTGAAATTTTTAACTCAAACATTTATAAGATACTTTTACATTGAAATGTCAGCTAATCCTTGTAAATTTTTAACATGTTTGTGCTGGGATGTTCAAAAATGTTTTTAAACTTTAAATAAAGAATCTATTTAGACAATTCGAAATAAACTAGATACATTAATGTTAGTGTTTCATTAATACATGGGAAACATTTCCACATGGCAAATTTATAAAATATTTTGTCAGTTTGTAAATATTATAACAGTAATTAAAACAGAATTAGTTGCCCTTTATTATTTTTATTATATTCTTGACATTATAGAACAATCATTTATTCATCATTTGACATTAACTCATTTACTAACATATCTCCTCACATAGTCATTTGCAATTTTGTGATTCTTCGTTTTGAAGTACTATTCACGTCAATGTTATCTGCATTTGTCAGCAACTACGGGGGTGTGTAATCTATATATATAAAAACAACCACTTTACTGATTTAACTAGAAAATTGTGTTGATGCTTTAGAAACTGTATGCTATAAATTTTAAACTGTTGATTACTTTTATATTAAAAAACATAATTAATGAATTGTTAAGTTTGAAAACAGTTTGGATGTAACAACTTTTTACTTAAGCAACAAAAAAGATTTAACTGAAGAACAAACATTAGGAATTAATATTTACGAGTATTGCTTTTAACGAAAAACATTTTCCATAACGAAACTAAAAGATAACCTATTCGTTCTTAACGTTCTTATAACAAAATTACTACCAAAGTAAACTCCCACACGCGCTTACGCACATATTTACGTTCATATACGAATGCTATACCCACGGAGTGCATTCCATCTCGATGCAGTTTGAAGCATTGTCGTCTTTGAACGAACATTTAAATGAATATATGGTCGTACGTGATGTGATGTATGTGATCATATGCACCGAAACTATTTGTCTACCAAGTCACATGTCAGATAATTTATTTTTTTATTTTCATTTTGATGTCAGTTGTATAGTTTTTTTTTGTTAGCAGGTAGTCGATGCTGTCTGGCGCCTCTTTTGTGAGAAAAAAGAGTTAATTAAAAGAATGGATTTATTTAAAGCTTCCTGTTTTTGTACGCTGACGTACTTTTGTGTGTGCCGTTTTGAATATTGTACGTTGTTATTTTGCATTTTTATGTTTGTGTTGTTGTTGTTTCTACATTGTTGCAAGAAAGCTATTTAACAGAGCAAAATTTTTTTTATGAAAAATGAATTTCGTTGAGAATATTTTGTTTAAAGTGCTGACCTCAAAAACGTTTTCAAACACTTTACAAAAATTAAAAAGATAAAAATGAAGAACGCTTAGAAGTAGGACAGACTGAACGTTTGTATTCATGTTACTTTTCTGAAAGTTATATTGTAAATTTTATAAACAGATGTTAAAATGAAATTTGTCAACACACTTTATTTAAATCTGCACTTTCGTTATGAAAAATATAAAATGAATCAGTTGAATAGAAATCTGCCAATTTTAATAATCTGTTTTAAATTTCTCCATACAATTATTTAAATTACTTTAAACTATTTAGCAGTTTTTTTATGCTTTAATTCTATCTTGGTTTTTGTTTATGATTTTCAACTTTCTACTCCCTTTACTGACTTGTCACGTGCTATACTTAGGATAGACTCCAAAAAGACTTTATTAAAAATTCATTGAAATGCGATGTTGAATGCTACGTATGTAAATACAATCCTCTCGTAGAAATGAAAAATAGACACTTCATTGTTTAACGTACGTTTGGTCAGTGTATGAACCAGAACTGAATGAACAGCACTACTGAGCAGGAGGTCCAAACATCATTGTTTTGAAAAGAAAAATTTAAGCAAAAGTATTAAAATAATTCTTTACAATAAATACTATAAGTTAAAAATCTTATTTATTTTTTTGTTTGAAAATTTGGACCAGGGTGCAATCAATTAACTTAATCATTCATTGTGAAATCCAACGCTAATATCTTTTAATTAATATCTATTCTATGATAATCAAATTTTTTATTTAAAAAACAAACACAATATAGATATAAAAATGCTTGCTAATTAAAACTTTGGTAATTTTGTCAAAAACTCAAATACAGAAGAAAAGTTTGACTATAAGAACGCCGACATGATATTTTAGCTGCTTCACTTACACACACACACACACCACACACACGTACAAACACAAAGTATATATATTTATTTATATATTTATATGGATATGTATATATAGGTGTGCATTCTATATAGCATGCTTGTCTCACGTGTTTGATCATTGCCTAGATGTGGTGAATGTGGCTTGATGAGGATGGTGAATTTATTTTCTAATCAAGTTGGTTTTCTTCGCGTTGTTAGTCGTTTCAATTTATACGGTGTTCTGTGAATGAAACATTTATTAACTCGTTGGCTCTTGATTTTATATTTCATGTTTTGCCCTACAAACATTATGTCATGAGTGAAATAATTTTCATCAATGGTCTATAAGCGATGCAAGTTTTATTGAACTTTAAACTTGAATCCAACTGAGGTTAGTTCGCTTGTCTCAATTTCAAATAAATAATTAAATAAGAATATAACATATCATAACATAATTAACAACTGATAAGTTTCATCCAGTTCTTTAACACCATTTCAAATAATAATCAGTCGCACAAAGTTTTGAAAAAATAACAAAATTTCAAATTTATTTTTGAAAATATATGCAAAATAAAAATATTATTTTTAGCCATATTTCAATTGAGCGTAGAAGTGAACACTGTTTTGTTTTCCAAAGCTAATGTTTGTCTAATCTAGAGGGTATCGTACGTTTTATTAAAAATAGTGCATGGCTGTAGTTATATATGGCATTTCATAAAACATATTTTATACGAATTGTACGGATTGTTTGGATTAGTTTTTTTTTGGAAATTTTCATGCAAAGTGTACAATGATGTTTGAATTAGATTTTTTTAGATATTTTCATAACAAACTTGAAATCAGTGTTTTAGAAATGCGAATGGCGTTCTCCCTACTATGTTGTTACTGTTCATTCTGTTGCGACACCCTCAAAATTTTAAAAAAGCCAAAAACGAGTATCGCCTGTATGGTTTGTCATCTTTTTCAATGCAAAACTTCAGTGCAAAAAGAAATTAATGTTTACTATATTTTTAATACTGAGTTTTCCGACACCATTTCAAGTATTATAATACGTTTGAACCGTTCATATCTTTGACGATAATGCATAAAATATTCGCAACAGATAATTTTTTTTCTTCTGTATTCCTTTTGCATTCGTTTATTTTGATTTTGTTCCATTTTTTTATTTTATACAACACCGACGATGGAATGTGAAAATTTGACCTAGCAATTCACACAATTCAAGGGTTGACACACCTTTTAAATTTAAATAAATAAATTATTCAGAAAAATAAATTGCATAAGTGAGTAAATAAATTAAATGAATGAATGATTAAATAAATAAATGTATATATATTTGAGTATGTGAATAATTATATGAAACAATAAATAAATAAAACAAATAATTAAATAAACAAAAAGACAAACATACATATATGAAAAATGCTAATGAAGTCTATGCTTGCTTATACAAAATGTGTTATACTTACATTCATTTGTTTTAGCTCGTTTACATTTGTTTATTGATTTGTAATTTATTTAATTGATTTTTGCATATTGTAGCGTACATATGTATATCGGTTCTTTGTCCGTAGTTTATTATATCTTACATGTTTTTATTGACTGTTTAAATGTTCCTGACAATTTTTTCTTCACTTTTAATAAAATTAGTTTAATTCAAATTCAACAAAAAAGAATGTTACGATGAGAAAGTGAGAAATGAATAAGCGATGAAATGAGGAATGAAATAGCATTTCTATATTTATGATGCGATTCAGTTTTCAAATCAAATCTTTTGTGTCGTTGGAAAAATTAATTTTCATTCAATTTTTGTATTTTTGAAAATTTTTTTTGTTACATAAATAAATATAATTAGAAACTTTTCACAGATTTTTATTTGTGCGGTAATACATCTTTCTCCATTTGCTTATATTTCAGTAGAATTTAGATTTATTGTCGTTAACATCGGGCGTGAAGGTTAGCTGGTCATTCTCTCTTATATGCCATTGTGTCAGTGGATCGACTACATACGCACACACGCAACGTAGAAGCCAAACATCACGTGCGATGCCAATGCATGTTGGAAGAGGTTGTTTTTGCGTTCGACCATTACCTGGTCCAACCATTACGCCCCCCGGACATTATGGTGTGATGATTTCAAATACTGAATTGCTGTGTTTCATAAAAATTCATTGCAATCATTGAAATGTTTCACGGTGTTTCAATAAAGTAAAAAGTATTTAAGTTGAAAAATGCTTCATGGCTGAAATCATCAAATATTGG